TTCATCAAATTCAAAACACGGGTGGTGAACTCAAATACTGACCAAAAGTGTGTTGTGGGGACGTCGTGAGTGTCCATTTCAATGCAACAATTTAACCCAGAAAAAAAACTCCCGTGAAGGATATAAGTGGCCCTAAATACTGCACTACAACTGATCTACTGGGCACATGTCGTAAAACAGTTTTAATGTACTAGTTTACCCAGATACTCATCAAAATATGCTTACAAATCACTAAACCATGACAAAAAACCTAAATCTTTACTAATGAATGTGAACTCACCTGTTGGAGGAGAGTTGATTGAGCAGATTCTTCATCCATCTGAGTCACTGACTGGAGAGAGAAGGATCAGAGTCATTCACTGTGCTGGTTTTAACAGCAACTCTGGTCATCTGTAAGAGACAACATTCACAATGACAAGATTTTAGAAAATGGAAAAAGATGAGAGAAATCTGAAGCAGATACCACATGATTTGAGAATGTAAAACGAAATCAACTACATCTATAACATATTTCCTGTCCAGTCTAACTCTAGTGCGCGCTCACACACACACACATCTGGATTAAAACCAGCCTCATGGGACTTTACACACACAACGTTATAGTTCCTTATGGGGACCAGTTTCATCAAATTCAAAACACGGGTGTGAACTCAAATACTGACCAAAAGTGTGTTGTGGGGACGTCGTAAGTGTCCATTTCAATGCAACAATTAACCCAGAAAAAAAATCCCTGTGAAGGATAAAAGTGGCCCTAAATACTGCACTACAATTGATCTACTGGGCACATGTCGTAAAACAGTTTAATGTACTAGTTTACACCAGATACTCATCAAAATATGCTTACAAATCACTAAACCGTGACAAAAAACCTAAATCTTTACTAATGAATGTGAACTCACCTGTTGAGGAGAGTTGATTTGAGCAGATTCTTCATCCATCTGAGTCACTGACTGGAGAGAAGGATCAGAGTCATTCACTGTGCTGGTATTAACAGGCAACTCTGGTCATCTGTAAGACAACATTCACAATGACAAGATTTTAGAAAATGGAAAAGGACAAGAGAAATCTGAAGCAGATACCACATGATTTGAGAATGTAAAACGAAATCAACTACATCTATAACATATTTCCTGTCCAGTCTAACTCTAGTGCGCGCTCACACACACACACATCTGGATTAAAACCAGCCTCATGGGGACTTTACACACACAACGTTATAGTTCCTTATGGGGACCAGTTTCATCAAATTCAAAACACGGGTGTGAACTCAAATACTGACCAAAAGTGTGTTGTGGGGACGTCGTAAGTGTCCATTTCAATGCAACAATTAACCCAGAAAAAAAATCCCAGTGAAGGATAAAAGTGGCCCTAAATACTGCACTACAACTGATCTACTGGGCACATGTCGTAAAACAGTTTAATGTACTAGTTTACACCAGATACTCATCAAAATATGCTTACAAATCACTAAACCGTGACAAAAACCTAAATCTTTACTAATGAATGTGAACTCACCTGTTGAGGAGAGTTGATTTGAGCAGATTCTTCATCCATCTGAGTCACTGACTGGAGAGAAGGATCAGAGTCATTCACTGTGCTGGTTTTAACAGCAACGCTGGTCATCTGTAAGAGACAACATTCACAATGACAAGATTTTAGAAAATGGAAAAAGACAAGAGAAATCTGAAGCAGATACCACATGATTTGAGAATGTAAAACGAAATCAACTACATCTATAACATATTTCCTGTCCAGTCTAACTCTGTGCGCGCTCACACACACACATCTGGATTAAAACCAGCCTCATGGGGACTTTACACACACAACGTTATAGTTCCTTATGGGGACCAGTTTCATCAAATTCAAAACACGGGTGTGAACTCAAATACTGACCAAAAGTGTGTTGTGGGGACGTCGTGAGTGTCCATTTCAATGCAACAATTAACCCAGAAAAAAATCCCGTGAAGGATAAAAGTGGCCCTAAATACTGCACTACAACTGATCTACTGGGCACATGTCGTAAAACAGTTTAATGTACTAGTTTACACCAGATACTCATCAAAATATGCTTACAAATCACTAAACCATGACAAAAAACCTAAATCTTTACTAATGAATGTGAACTCACCTGTTGAGGAGAGTTGATTTGAGCAGATTCTTCATCCATCTGAGTCACTGACTGGAGAGAAGGATCAGAGGCATTCACTGTGCTGGTTTTAACAGCAACTCTGGTCATCTGTAAGAGACAACATTCACAATGACAAGATTTTAGAAAATGGAAAAAGATGAGAGAAATCTGAAGCAGATACCACATGATTTGAGAATGTAAAACGAAATCAACTACATCTATAACATATTTCCTGTCCAGTCTAACTCTAGTGCGCGCTCACACACACAAATATCTAGATTAAAACCAGCCTCATGGGGACTTTACACACACAACGTTATAGTTCCTTATGGGGACCAGTTTCATCAAATTCAAAACACGGGTGTGAACTCAAATACTGACCAAAAGTGTGTTGTGGGGACGTCGTAAGTGTCCATTTCAATGCAACAATTAACCCAGAAAAAAAATCCCAGTGAAGGATAAAAGTGGCCCTAAATACTGCACTACAACTGATCTACTGGGCACATGTCGTAAAACAGTTTAATGTACTAGTTTACACCAGATACTCATCAAAATATGCTTACAAATCACTAAACCATGACAAAAAACCTAAATCTTTACTAATGAATGTGAACTCACCTGTTGAGGAGAGTTGATTTGAGCAGATTCTTCATCCATCTGAGTCACTGACTGGAGAGAAGGATCAGAGGCATTCACTGTGCTGGTTTTAACAGCAACTCTGGTCATCTGTAAGAGACAACATTCACAATGATTCACCTAAACTCACCTGTTGAGGAGAGTTGATTTGGGGATTTGGATATAATTTATTGGAACAGACAAATTTGATTCATAGATTTCTAATCAACCAACAAATTTGTTGACATGTTGCAAAAATATGACCTATTTTGTACACAGTGTGCTTAACAACATACTTGTGTTCTCCATGGGTAGTCTTCTCCCCCATAATCATAGGCAATTTCTTCTCCTTCTTTAATGTCATTCAGGGCAAACAGACAAAGGTGAGGCTTTCCATTGACGTCAATTTTTTTCATCTTACAATTTGGATGATTGTGGCAATCATTAGCGATACGCCCATACGATCCATCTTCCCTTGACGCGTCAATACTTAAATATGAAACCATGAGAAAAGGATGATTACAAGTAATACAATTAAACCACCACAAATCAATGTATTTTTACTATCTTTTTATATAGCTTTGGTACAACTTGACTTCTTACCACCATGTTTTCCCTCGCCACTTGAAATCAAACATAAATGCAGCACAGGATGCGTGGTAACGTTTTCTTCTCCTCTGAAGTTCTGCTTCATTTATCATATCTCCCCTGTACTCAACAACAAAATCACCTTTGCAAAAGGCAGCCTTTGCAAATAGACCACGTCCTGCAAAATACAGAAAAAAACATTTTAAATTAATAAAATCTTATAGATAAAGGATACCAAATACACTAAAAAAGTCATCAATAGTTGGCAGCTGATTTAAAATAAGCTGCAACCAGGGTCTGATTAAATATACCCAGGAGTTTTGCATTACATGCTCATAAGATAATGGTTAGGAAATGCATATCTTGGTAAATATTTCATGATAAAAATCACACCACCTTACCTTTCACTGCATTGATATACTTCACATCTAATTTGAATGTTTTGTCAGTTTTTGAAACAACATGATGCATGGCATCCTTAAGGGGGCTGATTCGTGGTGGCATTTCAAACTGATGAAAAATAAAAACATGTGAAATTAATTACACTGAAAATGAAGACACGCAGAATTCAACTAATATGTTCAAGAAGTAGATAAAAATGGTATTGTAATGTTACAGCATTACAATGATATTGTATGCATCAGTGTAAGACAAGACATATGAACTCTATAAAATAATATTAGATTTATTGACTGGCACAACAATGCTAGCCTTGAGAGCATCAACTCACCATCTTCTATTTTATTCCAGGTAACATTAGCCTTGGCAATTATTTAACTATTCATTTGGTCCTTAACCTAACCAAGTTACTCTTTTGAACGAGCTCACCATACAAACCCCAGTTTATTTTAACTACCGTCATAATTAAAATTAAGTTTATTCTTAAAGCTACTTTCTATTTTAGTTTTTGTTTTATTTTAGCCAACCTAATTTCTCTGTTAAGCACTTTGGTCAAGATCTGTGGCTTGTATATGCTGCCTATGGAGTTAATTTAAATGTAAAAACAATTATTGATCAGTCAAACGTGTTAACGTTACATGTAAGATATCTTCAATTTAAAATATAAAATAAGCCACCGTCCAGCACTAGCGCAAACTAGACAAAAACAACCTTAAAACCGAATCCATTAGCAATCAGTCAGACTACACAACACTTTTCAGTTAAAATTAAGTCCTTAACATTAAATTGCATGATTATGTGATCGCTAATTGGAAAAACAGAGAAACATGTAACTGCGTTAGCCTCAACAATTAGCACTAACTAGCTAGCCCGCAGACTAATCTAATTAACCTAATTGATTTATTATGTGTGCTTACCTTAAGCTTCACTTTTATCCTCGGCAGAAGTTCAGATCGTTGGCATCTTCAGTAAATAACGTTAATCTTCTTCTTTGTTCTCCGTGTGAAGTAACGTTGTCAATTTAATACTTGTATTTTCAAGTTGCTGTCGAACTCCTTCCTAACGAGGACCGGAAGTGGGCGGTACCCACCCATAATTGGAAAATGTGTGTGTGGAGAAGTGAGTGCATTACCAGACAAAAATGTTTGGGGGCGCAGCAGAGCTCCCGCTACACACACGCACAATACTTGATAATCATGTGTTATGGGCCAATGCTAAAACTCCGCCCAGAACCTTCAGAATAGTTCCTCTATCCAATTAAATGGGTTAACCTTATGGGGACCTGATTTTTGGTCCCCACAACGCAAGAGGTCCCCATTACGTGACTGTGTAAACAGATTCTTGTCCCCACAAAGTGATGATTACCAGAACACACACACACACACACACACACACACATATAAATGTTTTCAGCTTTACAGACCAGAGAGCAAACGTTCCCTTCTGTGTTCTGCAGAAGAACATACAGCACATCTTTTTGGGTAAACTTTTCCTCTAAGTGACATGACATAAAATACAATAAACCTAAATTGACTGTCCCGATGTCACGGGAGGGTCATTAGGGCTCATAAGAGATGTGCTGTGGTACAGCTCAGTGGTGGTCCAGTCCTGCCGTGATTCCCATCATTCATTCTAGATGAGAGTCTGTGCTGTGGACTGAGAGCGCAGAGAGATTCTTTGACAAATGACTGGTGGTGTAGAACAGATCTGGATTGAGCCCAGGATCTGTGTCCTGCTGCTGAAATGCACACTCTTTGGACACACACACACTGCTGCTGACATGCACTCTCGTTGGACACACACACACACACACAAACTCCTTCAAGCAGCGCTGCTCAACATGCAGCCTCGAGACAATTTTTGTTGCGTGATGTTGTCATCATTGTGGCAATCACAACTGCTATAATCACAAACATGTCATCCTACCATAATAACGAGCAGCAGCTTGGCAGTTGACAAAATATACTGTGTGACAGCACAAATGTACATTTTAATTTGTTAAATATTTATTACAGTGGGTTAAAAATACACATGTATTTGAATTATTTCCAAATTATCACAGTACAAAATATCTTTTGCTATTATGTGTGGTATGACTTCCTTAAATTAGTATCTTACTATTAACTTGCTTGCAATATGGATGTCTTGCTTTCAACATTCGACTTTTGAGCGTAGGATATTCCAGCTCTGTAACATAATTTTGAGAGTTGCCTACTTAGGATTTGTTCTCACTTGTAGTTCGTTTCTCTTGGTTCTTTTGATCCAGATAGGTAACATCACGACTATGATGAGAAGAACCAAGAATCTTTGAGCATTGTGTCCTTATTATGGTGCGTTCACACCGGATGTGAATAGCGCGTAAGGCGCGAATGATTTCAATGTTAAGTCAATGCAAAGACACATTACGCACGTAAAAAAATCCTGCGGCACGAATGAGGCGTAGAGCATGGCGCGGAAGACGCAAATACGCCTCGATTGAGCATCTGGCGCATTACGCGCAAATGATTTAGTTAGTGCTATTTGTACATTCACGCGTTTGACGCGAATTCGTGTCTGCTGCTCGAGTTGAAAAATCTGAACTTCGGCGTCAATCAGGAGCCTAGCTGCTTGCTCGTGTGGTGAAGTATCTGGATGCTTCAATAAATTATTTTGTAATATGACTAAACGCATGGTGGGATTATGCACAACAAAGCAAATATTTTATCACTTAAAACTGTTAATTTTGTATTGAATGTTATTCATTCCATATCTAGATTATATGAAATAGTATTATGATGTAAAGACAACCAACATACATGTGGATAAGTTTGTGTCTGGACATGAAAGAGAGAAAAAAACAATCACAGGGCAGGTTAATAACTTTTGAAGGCTGGCTCTATTTATCATCAAAACAAAAATAAATGACAGCTAGATTAGATGGATGAGGGCGAGGGTGATCCTCGCTCCGATGCGGGACAACAGGTCATCAAACTGGCCGCGTGACAGGCAGAAATACCGCTGACAGCGGCCGTCATCCAGCGCAGCTCCTGGAGCGAGCAAATGGTGAAACTCGCCAAACGGTTCGCCTACGAAGGGTCCGGTGGACACAAATATACAGCGACGATGATCCCCACGCCGCTGTTCTGTTCTCCAGAGTAAATATAGAGCGGTGACTCTCTCGATGAATGCTCGGTCGACATAAAAAATGGCCGCCAACGGATTTCGATTCTGACATGAATCACGCGTGTAAATTTCGCTTTAAACTTTTGTTTTTACGCACGTCAGTTTCACTCTTGATATGCGAATTAACACAAAGTCGTCAAGCGTCAAACTAGACACACTAATTTGACGCGCTATTCGCGTCCGGTGTGAACACAGCATTAGGGTTGCATCTTGTGACATGACATCCTGTTTTTTGGTTGGTTTAAGAGTCTTTGGTCCATGTTGCATTCATATTTCAGTCGAATCGTACTAAAGTTCATTTGGAAGAAGACCAAGAGCCCCTGAAATGGTGGGATGATAGTGTTCATACTTGTTCAAATTACACCAGTTACACCAACATCTTACACCTAAAGATATCTTATTTTAACCTAATTTTAAAGCAGCATGTACTCTTCACAAAGAAAGCAATCCCATAAAACAATTACTGCATCCCAATGTGCCTCCTTATACTGTTCCCTAAAATATGTACTTTTTTGTGAAGAAAAAGTATATGCTTTTGAGTGAGCAACATAAGAGTAAAATGATAAATGATAAAATTGCGTCTTTAATGGACACTCTGTCGCATAGTTACGTCCATCCTGTCACCATAAACTGGCCTGTCAATCATCTTGCCACAGTTGGTATCCTCAACGTTTAATTTAATCTCCGAGTTAAGAATAACATCCCTTATGCATTTCATTTATGTTTGTAGTTCTGAACCGTAAACCTCCTCCAAAGCACACCAGGTTGTGGGCAACATTAGCCGTAAGAGTGTGTATGGATCCACACTTCGAAAATCAACTGAAAATAGTAGACCATCCAGGGATTCTTGTACTCAATACTCTTGCACATTGGGATGCAGTGAATGCAATGGGTTCAGTGAAAAAAAAAGAATTAAAAAAACATCCAAGATGGCAGACAAGTTTACAGTATATTGAAAATATGTTATACATACTTTCAAATATATAGTGCTAACGTAAATCTCTGCTAAACTCATTCAGTACTACGGACATAAAAGCCCACTTACGATGACAGAGTCATGCAGGCTTTAACCAATGCCTCCAGACTAAATAACTAACAGCATAAATACACCACATTTTCTCTAGAGAAAATTGCACAAGTTCCCTGTTATTGGGCAGTATTCAAAGAAACCAATATTTTCTAAATGACCTTTGCTGCTGGCCATTACTTCTGCAGTCCTCCACTTAATGAATCCTCCTAATAGCTACCTGCTTGGGACACAGGTGCTCCGCAAATTGCTCCCTCTAAATGATTAACGAGCAGTGGCTCTTCTCTAGGCAGTGTGCGGCTCTGCTGGGAGCCAGGCGTTTGCCTGGTGATGACATGATGGCTCGATTGCTTAAGCATACACTAATAATTTAGACAACTTTTCAAAGCATGGAAATTGGGGGTGTGACCTTGGAAATTATAAACAAAGCATGTGCCCACAAAACGATAATCACATCAGTTTAAATAACTATTCAAGCGAACATGCTTGAGCTTCCGTTTACCACAACTGATGCGAGTTGATGAATGTTTAGGCAACAGGTTAGATTTACTGTTTTTAAATCACTCTATGATTGTATCAATCTTAGGTAATCTTACCACACAGACCTCTGTCATCTATTAGTCGAACAATGGAACCACATAAATTAGGTATTGCATTCTGGGAAGAAGGTAATGGAACTAAACAACATAATTTAACACCGAAAGTAAATCTTTGGTGTGTTGTCAGTATATTTTATAAATCTAAGTATCATTTTTCACAGTGTGACTACACTCCATATGGCCTATCACTTATGATCATGCCGTAAAATAACTGCTTATTGTATACAGCAACACTATCTTCATTTGATCGCAGCCACCAAATCCGCTTTTATAAACTCAGATGTGTTAACAGCTCCGACCCGCTGACTGAATCACATAGACAGCCTGAAGCATAGCTGTCTTGCTTTCCTCATTGGCAATAGTTCACACCGCGGGCTACAGGTACTAATGTGTTGCTTTTATCAGATATTTCATGTGCACCTGTTTACTGGGTCCCACCGCTGCGTCTTGTTGCATTAGCCGAGTGGAGTTGGCCATGTCCTTGGGCTATTAACGACAGGATAATGAGGTTGTTCTACTCGGCTCTCATCTGCCTCTTACATTGAACGTGTTCAGGACACATTACCTTCATAAGCTAGACAGTCATCGTAAGCACTGATGTTCCCTCTCTTAAGTGGTTGAAGGAAACATGGAAAAACAGAATTTGTTTCCTCTAAATGGCTAAAATTCCTTCAACTGCATGATGTGAGTTTACAAGTATAGTAACAGTCTGGTTCTCCAATTACAAGAGCAAAGTATGAATAGTATTACTTTAATATATATATATATATATATATACTGTATAGGTTCTTGTAAAACTTTTCTCTTATCGTGATTCGTTAGTATTCATAGGTGTGGTAATTTAACACAGTCTCATCCCAAAAAGTCATATAACTGACGTCTTGGGACGTTTTTTGACCATACGTCAATATCCGCCTTT